GGTTTCTCACTAATACTCATGAGAGCTCAAAATTTTTGAATCTGATTGAAATTTTCGGTCTTATTTTCTCCGCAAAATAGTGTGGACCCAGCACTATTTTGTCACCCTGTTACACACAGTGATACACACAACAAAGTAGCACTGGCAATCAACCGAATTATCGGTGCTACTTTGTTTTGATAAAGCGTGTACTAATATCAGCTCATATTTTATGTCTAACGCCGATGTTATTTATGCGCTTGCAGCTAAAACTGTCTCTTTAATTATGTAGCTAAACTTGTTTTGTTTGTTTATTCGCCTTTTGATGATGGTTCTGTGCAACCAAAAGGCCTCGGAATTTCTTATAACCCAATGTGAGTAATCAATTTAAAGTATGTATTATACGGCATATCGGCTCTCATCCTAATATTTTCAATAGTCGCATATTTTTACGATCGCATACCTATTGAAATCGCATATTGTAGTGGTACGGCTAAAACCTTGGGGTTTTACCGTTCCACTAAGAGGAAATATGCTTGCTCGTGCGTTATCACGGAGTTTTCACGAGCAAGGTAGATCAAGCGTTTCAGACGGCGAGGACATTATGTGTTTGTTTTGAGCCGCATCCGAAAGCTCCGGGACAAACTGCGGTCGCGGAAAAGCGGAGCTTTCGCGCTCTTCTTCAGAGAAGCATGGAAGCTTTGCCTCGGGGTATTGAGTTTTCGCGGCCCGGTCAAAATTGGCCCGGTCAGTCCCTGCCAGAGCAGCAAGAAGCGTTCCCGCGCAAATCGGGTATTTATTGTTATAGTGTTATTTGTGAATAGAGGTTTCCACACCGAAAGTGGCTATAGTTATTCAGTTCCCTAGTATTAGTATCCCCGACCCCATCGCACTGCAATATTTTGTTGAACTCTAATCCAATAATAATTGACTCACCTATTCAGCCCGAATCTGAATTTCCTCTACTGCTTTTAATGTATTTCAGTGCCACGAATGAATGAGGACGCTTTTCGCATACAGCTCTGACGTTCTTTTTACAACAGTACTCAGAAAAATTAGTCAAAATGAGTCTTGAAGCAGAGAAACTCGAAGGTCTAAACACTCAGAATGAAGCAGTTACCATAATCAAGAGCCGGTATAACTACTCTAGAAGATCAGCTTATGCACAGGTCAGTACTTTGAATAACAATGTAGAAGGAAGGTAACATGAAATGTATCCAAATTAATTTTCTACTCGTGCTATGTCTTTTGTTCTTTCGATCGTATCTCACAGGTATTGGCGACGCTAATCCAGAATTGGTTACTCATCGAGATAGGTCTGGACACGGCGATGACCACAATGGTTATCGGTGCACTTCATTTGAACTCCGCAGAGGCGCTTAGCATGAATGATGAACAGGCATCTTGGTTTGGTAAGTTGTATAAGTTTGGTAAGTTATATATAATAAGGGCCTAATTTGAATTCCTCCATATTTTTGTAAAAACAATAGTTTGAATAATTCAACGAACAAAGACAAACAATTAAAAGTAGGTAAACACAGCGAAAAATCCACAAAAAATGCCTGAGACGTTTAGATGCGGTAGGACCCCCCCCCACCTCACCCCATCAAATAGGAAAAAAAGAAGTACATACAATTAATAAAAAAAATAATAAAGAGGGTTCTCTGTTGGTGATCTAATATACTCTTGTCTGCTACTATCAAAAGGGATAGTTGTTGATTTATTTTTCATCAATTTTAATTTATTTAATTTTTTGTTCCTTTCTTGCCAATGGAGTTACTATCACTCCGAGATGCACCAGATATTTTGCTGTGCATTTTTAGCCTTGATCATTGAAATTTCCTTATTTGTTTCTTTGTTCTGAAACTACACAGTCCACACTGTTCATCCATTAATCGGCAAAGGATATCAGCGTCCAATTTTAATTATAGCAAGACTGAAATATAGTAATCTTTATGTTTTCAATCGTGATTTAAAAATCTTCAATATTTCTGTGCATATTTTCTTCCCGTTTGCAAGGGAGCTTGCCGTTCATCTGTCACCCTCTGGCGAGTTTATTATTGTCCGGGTATTTCCAAGACAAATTCGGAAGAAGAACCACCATGATCCTAGTCACGATCCCCACGTTCATTGCGTGGGTGTCCTTGTACTTCGCGCAATCTATGTATGTTCTGTACTTGGTGTCTGCTGTCACAGGCATGTGCACCGGGCTCACCGAGGCACCCCTCCATTCTTACATCGGTGAGATTGGAGAACCTCACCTTCGGGGAACTCTCTCGTCCATCTCCACATCTGCCGTTCTAGTGGGTAAATATAATACGTCGTTCTTTCATCATTCCATATTATAGTTTCTTATATCAAAGAAACGATTTAACCCAGAGGAGAGCTTGAAATCGGGACGTTTCCGGGCCTTAGTTTCTACCAGAAATTAAATACAAAATAGGGGGTACGCCACCCTCTGAACGCTTCGCGGTCTAACCTCCCAACACGCTTCGCGCCCTAGGCGTTATGTGTTATACTCGTATGGTTTTAGATTATAAAGTAAAAAATAACAAAAAGCAAATGATGAGTGGTCCGTCATTCTTTTGGAGAGCAAAGATTCCCCCTTTTTACAGACTTCCCGTGCCTTGGTTTCCTCTACCTTATTGCTTTGAGAGTGTACACGTGCAAAGAGAGTTGAAGAACATTTTAGTCATGAAATAAGTATATTGATCATTAAAGATTAAAAAAACTTTGATACATGCTAACGTAGTAAATGACGTCATCCACTGAGCTTTCTGAGGTTTTTAACCAATGTCAAAGTTTGACATCGTAGTCTAGTTACTGAACATACTATCTTCAGTTTTCAACTCGATGCATGAGTACACAGTGAAAATGGAAAAACATACAATAAAGAACACCTGTGTGGCATTAGTGCGATTAATTTTCGTTGTGATGATTTCAATGATAAATAATGTAGCGATAATTGAGATCCAAAAATCGTCAAGTATGTCTTATTTTTTGAAATAGAATTGACCAAAAAGTTATTTTTAATTGTTTCGTGAGTCCGTTTGAATTAAAGAACACCTGTGTGGCATTAGTGCGATTAATTTTCGTTGTGATGATTTCAATGATAAATAATGTAGCGATAATTGAGATCCAAAAATCGTCAAGTATGTCTTATTTTTTGAAATAGAATTGACCAAAAAGTTATTTTTAATTGTTTCGTGAGTCCGTTTGAATGAGTGTTAACAATTCTATGAACTATTTAAAAACGACCTGTTGATTTGTTATCGTTTTGAAAGGTAAAACAAGAGCGGTGACCTACAACATCGGAAATCGGAGATGAGCATCGGATGGCATGATCGGATTTATGTTAGGCTTTGATGAGGTCTTTGATCTTCCTTTTTGTGTGGACGTATATGAGAGATTTGAACGGTTAGAGAATAATTTAAATGTTTCTCGATCAAGTTGATTTAATCATAGAATCTAATCGTATCTGATTTTTCAGGGATTTTTATGATGTACGTTTTCTGCTACTTATTTACTTGGAGAACTGTTGCCTTGATCTGCAGTGCGTGCCCTGTTATCACTTTTACCTGCATGACGCAGGTGAGACCTCAAATATTACTCAAAGAAAATCTTAAATTTTATGTTGAGCTTTCATTGGAGACCCAAATTCTTCAATGGTTGTATAGAAATACAATCAGAGTAACCTAAACACGACCTCAATCCCTCCTTCTCTCTAAATTAAAAGAAAATGAAATAGGAAGCATGTTTGCTATGAATGGAGCAATGTATGAGGTATTGAATTGAATAGAGACCACATCAGTTCATAGGCAAATCCAGGGGGAGCGAAGGGGGCGTAAACCCCCCTCCTTCCCCCGCGCGTTCGAGGTGTCTGGATCCGCGCTTATGCGTTAATTCTCATTATAGTAGATTTTTGCCAATTGTGAATTTCAGGAGGGATATTTTTCACGTATGAAACAGTCATTATTGTTTCTGCACTTGGTGCAGCTCAGAGCAAATAACCTTCTCCGTAGTAAAAAACAATTGGATCCAATAAGTAACGATGGCATGACAAATTTTAATGCCGCCAATTGAAAAAAAAAAGATTTACATCCCTTTCGGCTACTACCAGGGTCTGTTTTGATAGATTCCAGAGTCGCCAACCTGGCTAATTGTGAAGAATCGATTAGAAGACGCCCGAAAATCTTTATGCTGGTTGAGAGGGTGGGTAGATCCAAGCGAAGTTGAGGAAGAATTCCAAGCACTTGTCAGTCACGCTAGAAATTCAGTGCAAAAGAATAAAGCAGCACAGTCAGTCGGAGGTAGGCACGCGACTATGCATTGATATTTTTGACCAATTTAATTAGTTTTGGATAAAATATGATCAGGTGTGGAGTTATTACATATACTCAAGGCAGTCTACACGCTGACCCAAGGTATATCTTCAAGGGTGCCTTCTGAAAAGAGAATCGGTAGCCTGTTTATGTGTAAATTCCAAAAGCGATCGAGTCACAATGCCTGGTAGGCGCAAGAGCAATAAAATTTTTCTCAAAAGGCTCCTCTCGTCTATTGGCATGAACTGAACTATGACTCAAAATTTAAAATTATTTCCTCAACCAAATCAATCATGAATTATATTTGTTTTTGTTTGCTAGGTTATTATGGATAATTGAAATGACAATACAAAATAACTTCCCTTTTTTTCGAGTGAATTATTTACTTACCATTGATGTAGGGATGAAACAGGTCCTATCGATGACACTAAGTTTGCGAAATATCATTAGTTGAACGCTTTTTGACCATGAATATGTTGATTTTGTTTCCAGATGGTCTAATAAAAAAGGACAGCTATTTGAAAACACAATTCAAAGAGATGACCAGTAAGAGGGTCCTACTTCCACTCAGGCTGATTCTAATTGTGTTTGTGTTTAGAGAAATCACCACATTCAGTGCAATTAGACCGTACCTGATAGGTGAATTGAATAAACTGCACACACCCATCAATGCCAAATTAGTTCTGGTGAGTGATCAGTGGGGCAGTTCGAATTTTTCTGAAACGTATGATTGTTTCAAGATGGATCTTGTAATTATTTGCTAATTTATAAAATTTCTAAATCAAAATACAATTCAATGAAGTGTCCAACCATCTTATAAGCTTGGATACCGTAAATAGGGGCGATTATAACATCCACAATGTTAAAAAATGCTCGAAACTCTCAGATCTGCTTCAGCGGGATAATCTTATAGTATAGAGACATTTTTTTATTATGAGTCAAAATGTCATATTATTATATGCTTTGAAAGAAAACACTCTCTAGTATGGCTTGAATAAGTTGAAAATGGTTTTGTTCTTTTTTTTGGTCAACCCCGCGCCTAAAAATGCATTAGGAGCCAGCAATTTTGAGCCTGTCAAGGGTCTGTTGCAAGGTGGCAAAGATGTCCCCCAATTTTGTTGATAGTTTTGTGTATATCTTATGACTCTTTACAGATACTTTCAGAAGTTCTAGTATTCATTGGCGCGATGATGAATGTGGTTTGCCTCCGGCGCCTAGGGAAACGGAAGATCGCTATTTTTGCCAATGGGATCGTCGCCATTTGCATTCTTGGGACGGGGATCTACTGCTCGTTCCTTCAGGACTCAACCAGGTTCCCGCAGGCAGCCTGGCTTCCGGTTATTTTCTGGCTTATGCTCAGTCTCTTCTGTGGCTTCAGCGCAACTCTCCTTCCGTGGCAATTGGTCTGTGAAATCTTCCCCATCGTGTGAGTGACTTCAAGGGGGAATGTGATTCCCCTTAAATTTTTAACACTGAACTCATCCAGGGTCTCAAAAATATCGAAATCTTACACTAAAAAAGGATTTTAGATGCTGCCAAGGAGTCTTGAGTCTGACAGACTAAACAAACTTGATTTTTCTCTCAATAAAGGTGCTTTTTAAGGGCATTATTGCTTCGAGCGTAGAACGATNGATTTCGTTTATTGTCTCATCATTTACCTATTAATATTTATATTTCGTTCATTTATTTACCTATAATATTTTTTACGTGTCCAATTAGGGCATCATTAAAACAATTAATTTGGCCTCGTTAAGTGATACGTTCATCTTTGATACATTTTCTTCAAATGATCTAGAAAAGTTATTTTTTTGGAGCCGTAATAGTTTTCTCTGTTTTTATGAGAAATCGAGGATTTTTTATGTATTAATATTTCGGTACTTAAGTAATGGATCATTATTTTTCTTATGGATCTTGGATTTTTTTTCGGGGGGGGGAGGAAGCAAAATTTTAGATGTTTTAATTATTGCAAATTTTAACATACTCAGTTAATAGGTAGTAAATTAAATCTGGGACTCATTAAAATTGCGCTCACCGCTGAGCGCTTCTCTAATACCCACGTATTAGAGCTTTCCCGCTTGTTTTTTAAGTGAATTATTCACTCAACATTGATGTAGGAATGAGACAGGTCCTATCTATGACACTGAAGGCGCGAAATATTTTTAGTTAAACGATTTTTGATCATGAATATGTTGATTTTGTTTCCAGACGGTCTAATAAAAAAGGACAGCTATTTGAAAACACAGTTCAAAGAGATGACCAGTAAGAGGGTCCTACTTCCACTCCGGCTGATTCTAATTGTGTTTGTGTTTAGAGAAATCACCACATTCAGTGCGATTAGACCGTACCTTATAGGTGAATTGAATAAACTGCACACACCCATCAACGCTAAATTAATTCTGGTGAGTGATCCGTGGGGTAGTCAGAATTTTTAATGAGTCAAAAATTCTTCTCACAGTAGTCCAGATCCCTTCCCTTCCTCGCTAATCTTCTATAGGGATTTTCTGAAAAATATGATCGTGTTCAGGGTGATCTTGTAATTATCTGCTAATGTATAAAATCAAATGGCGTTCCAATGAAGTGTCCGTAACTCATAAGCTTGCATACCGGAATAGGGGCGATTATAACATCTATAATGTTGAAAAATGTTCGAAACTCTCAAATCATCAGTGGGCTAACTTTTCAGTATGAAGCAATCTTTTTCTGTTTGAGTCGAAATATCGGATTTTTATATGTTGACAAAAATCTCTCTGAATGAGTTGATTGCGTTCTTTTTGGGTCAATACAGCGACTCATGGTGCGTTATAAGCCAGCAATTTTCAAGGTTCTGTCAAGGTTCTATTGCAAGGTGGCAAAGATGTCACCCAATTTTGTCGATAGTTATGTGTATATCTTGTGGCTCTTTACAGATACTTTCAGAAGTTCTGGTATTCGTCGGTGCGATGATGAACGTAGTTTTCCTCCGGCGATTAGGGAAACGAAAGATCGCTATTTTTGCCAATGGGATCGTCGCCATTTGCATTCTTGGGACGGGGATCTACTGCTCGTTCCTTCAGGACTCAACCAGGTTTCCGCAGGCAGCCTGGCTTCCGGTTATTTTCTGGCTTATGCTCAGTCTCTTCTGTGGCTTCAGCGCAACTCTCCTTCCGTGGCAATTGGTCTGTGAAATCTTCCCCATCGTGTGAGTGACTTCAAGGGGGAATGTGACCAAAAATTCCCCTTAATTTTTAACACTGAACTCATCTGGGTCTCAAAAGTATCGAAATCTTACACTAAAAATGAATTTTAGATGCTTCCTGGGAGCCTTGGGTCTGGCAGAGCAAAAGAGCTTGATTTTTTTCTACCGAATGTGTTATTTTAAGGGCATTATTGCTTCGAGAATGAAACGATTTCGAAAAATATAGTAATTGACATTTTTCCTCCGGACTTAGTTTTCGAGAAATTTGAGTAAATGGCAAAAAACCAAGTTTTTTCCTTTAAAAGATGAAAGACCTTTTGAAATCCGCTGAATTCTCCCTTTAACTTAAGTTGTTGAAAATGTTTAAGCCATGAATACATTAAGCGCTAAAAGTTGTCGTTGACATCCATTACCATAAGCTTTAGTCCTTCGTCGCAAAAATATTGAAAAGGACGATTTTAAAATTTTGGGAGAAGAATATTACTACGAACTGATGCAATTTTGGAAAACATTTTGTGAGGAAAAAAAACATAGAATATTACTACGAACTGATGCAATTTTGGAAAACATTTTGTGAGGAAAAAAAACATAAAAAACTCTTACTTGAACTGTGAAAAAAGCACCAGATACCGTAGTCTCTCAACCAGGCGCAGACACAGTTAAAACGATAGAAAATGTTAAGTTAGGCAATTGCGATTCATTTCTTGGAATTTCAGCATTGGTCTGTAATGTATTAAATGACTTTCTACCATCTTCTTTTCTTCCAGAGGTCGTGGACTTGCGACGGGCATTACGGCCGGCACCAAGTATTTGATTCAGTCGGCCATGGTCAAATCATACTTATTCATAGAAACTTACATAGGCCTCAGCGGCATGATGTACCTTTACGGAACTGGAGCGGTACTGGGTGTCATTCACCTCTACTTCTGCCTGCCGGAAACGGAAGGGAAAACATTGCAACAGATCGAATCATACTTCACAAAAAATCACGATCGCAAGGAAAAATTTTCCGTCGGAACTGCGGCTCGTGCTGAGCCGAAAGTTTGATCGTGATGATCAAACATTCTGAATTATTGTGATAGGAGGAAATTATCAGTGTTATCAAAACTTTTTGTTGCAATCTTGTCGCCCCACAAATTGTTAAATATCTTCATTAAAGATTTTTTTAGTTTCTTCCGGACAAAACTTTTTATTTATCGTCCCGATCTCATTTACTATTCATATTTTTAGCCGAGGTTCAGCTGAATGTTTAAAAATGTGGCCCCAATTACGTTTCTTCTATCTTAGGCTGTATTGTTCACATAGACATTGAAGCATCACTACAAATAAGACAAACGGAACCAATACAACATGAAAGTAAAGTAAGGGAGAAGACACGCGTTGATGACGGCGTAGAGATACGACTATTCGTACTTGATGGATGTCCGTGTTGCATAGCTGGGTATTTGAAGGCGTGATGACTAGGCGTGAACTCCCAATGCTCCACTCTTTTCTGCCAATGAGGTGTTATATTGATGAGAATGAAAAGTCCGCTGCCCGTGCCATTTTGTTTTTTTGGTGGATAAGAAGCTAGTCCAAAGTTTCCCATTATATTTAAATATTTAACTAACACGCGTATAATTTTTTGCTTCGGTGTTTATAGGAACTGAGTGGTGGCTTTAAGGCTAATTATTTTTAGTTCCTGTCAATTAGTCTCTACTTCAGTTTTTTCACTATTTGAGTATCAAATTGCCCGGATCAGATTTAGGATAGCCGAAACACGTTTGCATAAAGTGTTTAAACTTATGAAGCGCATACAAGATAAAGATAGTAGCATGGTGAAACGTCTCCTCTACATTGAAATTATTAAAATTTTTGGATTTAAAAATTTAAATAAATTTTACAGTTTTGTCCGTGGGATCTCCCCTCTAGTAAATTGTCGCTCTTTCAATTCTAAGTACACTTTCTTCACATCACAGAACAATTGTCTTGGAGGTCTTTCTTCGTCATTAGCATATCATCTCTGACGTGATAAGCTGTTTGTAGCGCAAGGTTTCCGAAAAAAAAAACAAAAAAAAAAAACGTTTCTACAAGTTTTGTAAATTAAGTAAAATCATGAGAGTTGAATTAGTCTAAAAGAAATTGGAACTTCAAAATTGCGAAGATGTTTAACTTATTTGAAAATCTCACCGCCAAAACGAAATTGTAAATTGATTTAAATCGACAATAAATGACTCATTGAAAAGCGTTTAACTTAACTATTATTTCAATTCGAAAGTTTTATCTGGTGGTAAAAATGAATTAATGATAAATCATCTTCTTAACAAGATCTTTTTTTTTTTAATGATGGATTTTCTATAAGTGGACAAGATCTTATCTGACCTCTTTAACACTCTGCCACTCAATTCATATATCTGTGATTATTCTGCCTTCACTCGCACGAATGTAGTTGATTTATAACTTGTATCCAACTTTTCTCTCGTATGAATTGCCGGCATGTGAGCAAATGTGAGCATCAAGTAGTTTGTAATAGTGAGTGTTCTGCCTATTAATGGAAGGATGATCCGCAGCAAAGCGTTTATTTTCAAACCCATGAATGTCTACAAATAAATACATTTATTTCATTGGTGGAGTCTCCAAGATCTTTAATTTTTACAAAGACTCCATCTTCATTAATTAACTCTTGCAACAGAATCTAGTGGCAAAAACCTAAAATTACAACCTCAAATCAACCTAAAACCTAAAATTACAAAATTAGTCGTACTTATAAGCAAACAGAGAAACAATAAAGCTAATTATGAAAAAGCAGTTAGTCTGCAAAATGAAGGCATCGCAGACGAAACAGCAGTAAGTACACATTATTATTCAGCGACTAAGATGTACATACTGCTGTATGTGTAATATTATATGTTCTGTTGGTATCTAACGTTAGAATTGGTTTACGGTGTCTCTAAAATATAAACAAGCAAAAACATAGATCAAAGCACGTGCTGCTACCTTGTCTAACGCTATCGTGAATTAAGAAGGGTCTTTTTGAAGAAAACATTGGAACGAACATTTACCATTTCGAGTTTTTCGTGTTATTTCGATGCTTTTTTAGAGTATATCCGAAAGGAATATACTGTACTTTTCGTCATCAGGATGNNNNAAAAAAAAAAAAAAAAAAAAAAAAAAAAAAAAAAAAAAAAAAAAAAAAAAAAAAAAAATTACTACTTTACCAGAGCCATGGCCCTGAGACACCCACTACTGTTTGAAAACTGTGAAATCATTTAATTCACATAATGAACTATCTGAGATGTGACATAATAACTTTTCGTAGAACAATAGCTAGAAAACAATAGGTAAGAAAACTTGTGATTCTGTTCATAAGGATGCCAAGGTTTTTTCCTATGTGTCAGTCTGGGGCTCCAAGTTCATATAAGCACATGTTGGTTACACAGATTTTCGTGCCACGGTTCGAAAAGGTATGTTCTTAAGTTTTTATTATTGAGGTGGGTCCGCCGTAACACTTTTGAAAACGGTTTACTTGTTGAAAAATTAGTTGATAATTTCTGCGTAGTATTATGAAGTATATTACGTAATATATGAAGTATTTATACACAAAATTTAAGGTACTTTTTGAGATAATACCGGAAGTACATCCCAAGGAAGTACTGCGAATCGTTTCACCTTTCGATTTGCAGTATTCATTCGAAACGTACATTTGAAGTTATTTCGAACTGTTTCTCAGTTATATCTTGTGCATAAATACTTGATAGATTTCAGTGTGATGTGACGTTTAGGCATGATCGAAAATTTTTCTAAAATTTGAAAAAAAACAGCTATTGACACGATCTTGAAAGTGCTGAAGCTCTTCCTAGGGTCAAGAACTTGTTTTCCCCTCTATAAATATCCAAGTTCCGTTCTTCGCTGGAAGGCTCACACAATCTGGTATACTAACAAACACGAAATTTTTTAATTCATTTTTACCTTTGTGCCATTCTCCTTTACCGCTTTTCAATAAAGAAATTCTGCATACAATGTTCAGGGAAAAATTAAGTTGATCAAATAATGTTTTTTTTTAAAAAAAATTCAAGAACTACTTAACAACGTTTTGAAGTGTGAGGCAAGCGCTTTTAAAACCCACTTATTGTTTAATTGTTATAGACGATCACATGAAAAAAGGAAAAACAATTGAAGTCCACAAACAAAAATATACCTATTTTAGGGTGTGTTTTTGCTTGAAGAATCAAATTTGTTTTGTTATAACCAGATGCTGTCACCGTAGAAATTTAAAATGGACCCCCAGAAGGATTTCCCGAATGTCAGACGCACGCACTCATGACCGACGAGATGGAGTCCTCAGAAAATCCAGCCGAAAGCCAGACTGAAGACTTGCTACCCAAGTCAAAAGAAATAAAGTACAAAAATGCCGGCAGATCGACATTCTCACAGGTAGAGCAAACAGTCATTTAAAGTTCACAGAGGGAAATGTTTTACCTTCTTCTTAATTTAACATATTTTCAAAATTTCTTTAGATCGTACATATCTGTTGTTACATGTAAAAA